TTATTCATACCAATGATACATTGTTTACTTTTATTCATACCAATGATACGATTGTTTACTTTTATCATACCAATGATACAGTTGTTTACTTTTATCATACCAATGATACAGTTGTTTACTTTTATCATACCAATGATACAGTTGTTTACTTTTATCATACCAATGATACGATTGTTTACTTTTATCATACCAATGATACGATTGTTTACTTTCACCATACCAATGATACGACTGTTTACTTTCACCATACCAATGATACAATTGTTTACTTTTATCATACCAATGATACAATTGTTTACTTTTATCATACCAATGATACGATTGTTTACTTTTATCATACCAATGATACGATTGTTTACTTTATCATACCAATGATACGATTGTTTACTTTATCATACCAATGATACGATTGTTTACTTTCACCATACCAATGATACAACTGTTTACTTTCATCATACCAATGATACAACTGTTTACTTTCATCATACCAATGATACAATTGTTTATTTCAACAATGCTTAAAAAATCATATTGCCTAAACATTTACCAACAATATAACTGTTTATATTCACTATACCAAAACAATTATTTTCACAACTTCTGTTGGTATCAAAACAGTTTGTTTGTTTGTTTTGAACTTTGTACAAAGCTACACAAGAGCTATCTGCGCTAGCCGTCCCTAATTTAGCAGTGTAAGACTAGAGGGAAGGCAGCTAGTTATCACCACCCACCGTTAACTCTTGGGCTACTCTTTTACCAACGAATAGTGGGATTGACCGTCACATTATGACGCTCCCACGTCTGAAAGGGTGAGCATGTTTGGTGGGATGGGAATTCAGATTGCGAGTCGAGCGCCTTAACCACCTGGTCATGCCGGGCCAACTGCAACAGATTTTGTCATGTGCTAGTTAAAAGAGATGTAAATTTTCTCTGTCCATAAAAACTATATAATACAAAATAATTGTTACCAAAAAGTAAGAAATATACTTACAGGCTTTGAACCAAATGGATAATGAAGAGTATAGTTGTGATCATAAACATCAAGACCCATCTGCCTGAATTGTGCTCCCAGCCAAGCATAAGGAATACTAACACAAAAAGATATTTTCACACAAAGTACAGGGTTAACAAAGTGAAAATGCACATTTTTATCTCACAATTAACAGCTTGTATATGTCTTTCCACTTATAAATTGAGCTGGGCAGTTTAAGTAATTACCTATGAACAGTAATTAGTATCATGCAAAATAATCCATCTATTGAAATTAGCATTTCCAATTAATCAAAATAATGATTAAACAGATTGTTACAATCAAAACAAGGGTTTCCAATTATTCCAACTACCAAATAATCAAAATAATGATTAAACAGATTGTCACAATCAAAACAAGGGTTTCTAATTATTCCAACTACCAATTAATCAAAATAATGATTAAACAGATTGTCACAATCAAAACAAGGGTTTCTAATTATTCCAACTACCAATTAATCAAAATAATGATTAAACAGATTGTCACAATCAAAACAAGGGTTTCTAATTATTCCAACTACCAATTAATCAAAATAATGATTAAACAGATTGTCACAATCAAAACAAGGGTTTCCAATTATTCCAACTACCGATTAATCAAAATAATGATTAAACAGATTGTCACAATCAAAACAAGGGTTTCCAATTATTCCAACTACCGATTAGTCAAAATTATGATTAAACAGATTGTCACAATCAAAACAAGGGTTTCCAATTATTCCAACTACCAATTAATCAAAATAATGATTAAACAGATTGTCACAATCAAAACAAGGATTTCTAATTATTCCAACTACCAATTAATCAAAATAATGATTAAACAGATTGTCACAATCAAAACAAGGGTTTCTAATTATTCCAACTACCAATTAATCAAAATAATGATTAAACAGATTGTCACAATCAAAACAAGGATTTCTAATTATTCCAATTAAAGAAATACTGCCATCAAACCTGCCTACCAAAACTATGATACTAACCAGTAATACACTTGTTTTCTATCATTGATCACCAAAACTATGATACTAACCAGTAATACACTTGTTTTCTATCATTGATCACCAAAACTATGATACTAACCAGTAACACACTTGTTTTCTATCATTGATCACCAAAACTATGATACTAACCAGTAATACACTTGTTTTCTATCATTGATCACCAAAACTATGATACTAACCAGTAATACACTTGTTTTCTAAGTTTTATCACCAAAACTATGATACTAACCAGTAATACACTTGTTTTCTAAGTTTTATCACCAAAACTATGATACTAACCAGTAATACACTTGTTTTCTATCATTGATCACCAAAACTATGATACTAACCAGTAATACACTTGTTTTCTATCATTGATCACCAAAACTATGATACTAACCAGTAATACACTTGTTTTCTATCATTGATCACCAAAACTATGATACTAACCACTTGTTTTCTATCATTGATTTCAAGCCTCGTTCTTATTCTGTGTTTAGCGAATTAACACAGTTGCCTTTCCTTAGAAAAATAAGCCTAACTACAACTAAGGTTCTTCAGAGTATTCTTCAATAAGCTTTTAATGATATTTGCAACCTTTAGCAACTTCTTCCTTCAAGTTCTGAAAAACAACTCTAGACGTTTCATGACCTTGAGAAACTTTAATGGTAAAACAACTTTAATTTTTTAAAATACAAACCTAAAGACAAACACTGTCCTTACCGGGCATGGCTACCAGCTTCTTCCTTCAAACTTTGAAAAAATCTAGACGTTTCATGACCTGGGGAAAATTCTCGCTGAACAAGGCCAGGAAGCAGAGCATTTTCCGAAAAATATGTCCTATTGTTGTAAGGTTCCCATGCCAGTAAACAAAACCATACGATGCCCACAACATAACTTAAAAAGCAGAGTTTGTTTCCATGTTGTTTGAAGAGAATAATTAGTTTACTATGTTCTTTAGTGTCTGTCAACAGGCCCATGATTGCTTTATTTTCTAGAAGAAAAATATAGTACTGACATTGTTATATCAAAATATATTCACTCGTACATGTTAATTCAACTAATATCAGAAACTCATCAGAAAATACTTATTCAATGTTCAGTACAGTTTTATCAAATATACTACATTTCAACATTTGTAAAAATAAAAGTTGGTTACTCCATTCAACAATGGTAAAAGAAAATGACAGTGATTTTTGCAATCTTACTACAAGGATTTTAAAATGTTTTCATTTACGTGAGGATATATTTTATGAATTTTCAAAAACATGTAACTAATTTTACATGTTACTTCAAATGGTAAAGATTCATTCAGCCGTGGTATAAAAAATAATTAAGATGTTTATAGATAACATACAGGCACCTAAAATAATATAATATATGAAAAGGTTCTCTTTATAATAAAATTGGCAAAATTCTTAATATACAATGGAAAAATGTCAAACACATGAAATAAATCAAGAATACTTTTTTTTTCAACATAATACATCAATAATCAGTTAAGTTTGTCACAATTATTATCAGAAAGTACTGTACGTTTTCTACGGACCCACTTCCAAAATAAAAAACATCAGAGTCTGAAGGTAAAAATAAATACATTTAAGTTTTCTCTGAATGCAAACCAGTTATATTTACTTGTAGCAGTCTTTCTAGTTTTTCAGACTAACTTAAGTTTTATCCAGTATTCCTTATTATTCTTAAAAACTACAAAAAGGTTTCACAAGGTCAGTCATAATAAAATTTGCTTCATCTTCATTATTACAGGCAGTTTGAATTTGTGGGTAGAGCCCTGAAGTGTAAGAAATCACACAGGGATACTCGTACCGTAGCAAGGATGAAATAAGACATTATCAGGTTCGTGTCACTTGCAAAAATTCAATCTTTTTTTTTTTCCTGTTCAAAACCATTACGGTCTCATCACATTTTCGAAGCTCACAGACAACAGTCTAAATTCTGTACACAGAAATATGAGAAACAAGGGTATACAAGTTCAGAAAATATTTTTATATGAAATATTATTTGAAAAATCTTTTCAGTATAATTAATAATATTCCTCTGAGAATCATTATAATATGTAATGAATATACACTAAATTAACTTCTGAGAAACCAAAAATCATAAAATTCACAGTCATGAGGTTTTACAAACATCAAAATAATTTTACCAAGTCATGCTATAGATGAATCTGTACAAAAAGTATCTTTTTCAATTCCAAGTGAACTTTCAGTTTTAATTTTAAAAAAGGAGTTTAATGCCCAAACGGCCAAAGATGGCCTAATAACTCAAACTACTTAAGTACTTTAACTCGGTACTTTACATATTAGTATTACACAATTTACTGTTTTAAATGTTTAGTGATTAGGCTTACCTTTAATAATACATTAATACTAATAGTAATACTGCTAATGCCAGGGCAGTAGTGATGCGTCAGTGACGATACTTGAGTTTTGAATTTCACTTTCAGTCTCAATCTCACTGACAAACAAATGACTGAACTTCAAGTAGACTACACTATCATCAAATTCCAGAATTCATTCATTACGTTTTACGGTAATTACTATATACACAACAGTCGTACATCTGCGGTGTACGATTTTTGTTCGTCTCTACTTAAACGCTAAAGTTCCACTGTCAGAGGCCTATCGTAACACTTCAAGCGGTTAATTTGAGAACAGGGCCATCTACCGTAAACAAACTCGCAACATTACGATCACCGACTATGTCTTGTAATTTGAATATAATTCAAAAGGCAAAACTTGCTTTCCCTTTCCATATTCCTTATTCGCGATCAGTATGAAAAGGAAAATCAAACAAGCATAGAAACTCGTAAAGTTATTATAATAATTGTATTTATTTTATGAAATGTAAAATAAAATTAGTCCGAGCTCTTAAAATTTTACATTTATGTAGGAAATTATAACATTGGAAAACAAATCTTTACTCCTTTTTTTTAAAGCCAGGACAAATCAGCGTGTTTTTTGTTGTTGTTGTTGTTTTGTTTTTCAGGACTGGAAACAAGAACGTCTGGTTACTCTAGTGTTGAACTTTTTGTGTAAGTTACGCATCGTTCTTGTATCTAGCAGCACCAATAAGGTTATCACGTGCTCGTATAGTGCTTGTGAATTAACGAGAACATTCGAGGAGCGCCATTGCTGAATTCAGCCACTAGATGCATCGATAACAACGACAATGCGATGAATATACAAGGTGTCGCTCGCAGATTGCTTTTCTGTTTTGTTCTAATCGGTGGTGGTCTATTTATTGAGTCTGTAACTATATGGGTAGCACGTATGGTGAATGCAGACTGTGTTATTTTCTTCCGGTGCTACAATACTACAAGTTGTACTTTTAATATTATTGTTTTGTCAGGTGTTAAAAATGCCTAAACGCAAATGTGTTTATAAAGTAGAACAGTCGAAGGAGTGGGCGTTTATTGAGAATGCCCGTCGAGACAACGAAGTTGAATGTATTATGTGTGCGAATTTTTTAATGATAAGACATGGTGGTCGTGCCGACATAAAGGATCACATCAGCTCAAGAAAGTATGTGAACAAAATATGTTTTGAAGGTACATCTAAGAAACTGGACACCTTCATCAGATAAAGAATGGAAAATCAGTGCAGCAGAACTAACTCAAGCTTTTCATACTGTAAAACACCTCCATTTTTTATATTAGCTGACTTACGAATATACTAGCAAGTGTGTTGTATTCAGATTCTAAAATGTCAGCTTACTATTCAGCTGCAAGAGCCAAGACCACAACTTTTAATAACAGTTGCTATTACCCTACACATTGTAAATGAGGTAGATAAGATTTTTTTGAACCGCTATAGACGCAATCAATCACAAATCTAACAAAATATTTGCTTTTGTTATTTGGCACTTTGACCAAAACGAAGTAATACAATCTAAAGCGTTGAAAGTTGGTTTTCCACCGAACGAAACTGAAGAGAAAATAGCTACATTCTACATTCGAACGATTGAAAGGTTTTCATTCAGTAAAATGCGTTACATGGCATTTTTGAATATAATACAAATACCAACTTTGAACAGTTGAAAGGGGGAGGGAACACGCAGTGTTTTCGTTAAACTGAAAAAAATGTACATCAAAATATGGAAGGTGTCGGCTGCCATTTTCATGTGATGAGAAATTGTATTCAGACTGCTACTGATAGGTTGTCCTGCAACGTCGATACAATTGTTTTGAAAATCTTCACTTCCTTCTCTATTTGCACTATCAAAACAGGAAAAGTACAGGTCTTGACTTCGTTGGTGTTCATAGTAGTTGCTTCACTCAGTGTCTGACACACAACAAAGCCAACTAGTCTACTGAATAACAGAAACGTTTCTCTCTTGCCATGAACTTGTATGGGCACACACTATGCACCACCAAGCCCTGGGAGAACTGAGCTGTCCACTAAACCTTTCAGCACAAGCTGTCTGTTGCAATACCACAAATCAATTTGACTTGAGCTTAGTTTGTTTTCTGCAACTGAAGTAAGAGCAACTACAGCACACTGTTAATCCTCCTGCACCTGTTATGCTGATGGGCAAAACTGGTAATCACACCTACCTTGCTGCACAGCAAGGTAAGAGCAGTTTACTTTAAAGTAACCCAGTTGCCCACATCCAAAGCAGATTTTTTGGTCTTCCCTTCCATTGTATCATCTGGATGGAGGTATCACTGGAATTGGCTGGAACATCATGGTAGGGCCAGGGAAAGCTCTCCACTCTCTGTTATCCAGTGGGTCTTTATGCAATGCCAGTTACTGGTTTACCCCCAGCAAAGTTTGAGTTCATCATGTTGAACTCAATTTGGGAGGGTGCTTTGTTTGAAGTATAGTCAGTACAGGCTTCTTCATTTCATGTGACTTATTGATATTTACAAGTTTGAACTTTGTCACTGCATTTGTTAGGGTAAGGTCTCTCACACCAAAGTGATGTCTTAAATGTCTCCCTAAGTAGCCCCTCCATAAACTTGTCCATGAATATATTCCTGCAATTTGTCAAAAACATTGTAGGTTATGACTTCCTGTGCCAATGGCACAAATCGTCTGTCAGAGTGGCCAACTTCTCAGTTGGGCCCTCCTTTCAAGCCTTGATCTCAGCCTAATACATAGATCTATTCTTAACCAAGTAAAAACACTGGTGCATCTCAGCTACAATTGTATCCCATTCTCAGAATTGTACCTTGCTCAAGTCCTCGATAGAATTAAGAGCTGGTCCATCCTAAATCAATATCAAGCATCACATTACTTACTTCTTACTCCAAGGTCCAGTCATTCCATGTAGTTACCTACTTGAAATGCTTCAGGAAATAATATAGATCCTCTTTGGCTGCACCCTTAAATGACAGTGGAAAGATTAGTTTAGCTTGGCCAAAAGGGACCTATGTTTGTGACATAAACCTTTTTCCAATGGACTTTTGGCCACAACCAGTCTAAGATGATCTAATCAACGAGGGTTGGAGTGGTGGGCAAACTCAATAGCTTCTACACTTAGATGAGCATTAAGTCCTCGCTCCTAGGGGGCAAAATTAATAGCTACCATGGGCAGCTCTGCATGATTCCAGGTTTCTCTGTAACCCATGGCTGCCCTAGAAGTATACTTCACATGACACAACAGTGCATGACTACCCCATGGATCTCCACCTTGACCAGTTGATATACTATGTCCACCAGGCCCCTCTTGTCTCTCTCAGCTGGTCTTGACTAAAGCTAAAGGTGGGAATACTCTGGTTGGCAAAGGACTAAGGGTACTATAGACTGTCCCATTCTGTCTCAGACCACACATTATCACAATTCCTCTCAGTCACCCATGCTTTTTCTGTGCACTGAGATCGATCCTCATGGGTGTGAACTTCACTGGCAGTTCTCCTTCCTGAGTCTGCATCTCAAATAAGAATTAAGTCATGTACCTTCTCAGCATTGGTGAAGGTCCAATATCAAGGAGAAGACCTCTCCAAGACCCAATAAGTTTAAAAATTCTTCATTCTTGACATTTTCCATGAGTTGATAGACTGATAACCAAGGGGTACTTAACACAAGATATATAGAAAAGCACAGGGAAATGCAATCATCACGAGAAACAGAAAAATACCATAATCACAGCAACAAACTTTTCTCCTTCCTACTTACTCTGTGCTATTCTTAGGTTCACTGATTTCCTCCACGAGTAATAGAAATGATCCTTGGAATAACAGGAGGTTTGAGCAGAAAATGGTTTGTGAGAATTAATCTAAATTATCTGATTCTGAGTTGTGAATACAAATGAGACTGAACGTAATGCAAAAAAGTGAAAATCTGCTTATTCCACAAAACAATTAATGATGATGAGTATTGGACTCCTTTACTGAAAAGTAAAAGCTCTCAGAAAGGTCTGTGTAAAAAAATATGTTAATCTTTTTACCATAGAACATGCTTCACTTACACCACTATTGGTCATTCACATCACGAAATAACAGAAGATAGATTCTCAAGGTTTCACGTAACCCACCAGAGGAAAATATTGATAGTATGTTCAACTTTACAGAATTTGTTTTAATGAAACAGTACATCATAGCATAGGGGTCCCAGAACAATAAATAACTAACAAAGAGGCACAGTCCCTTCCTTGACCAATTTTCTATAGTTAAATCTACATACGCTTGTAAGATCAAGACTTTTAAGTCAAGTGGTTTTAAAACACTTAGTCTGTTTATATACTACAGTTTTTCATTCTATTTACACAACAGTCATGCATATAGACTTAGCCTAGTTTTACTTTATAACTTTATACTTTATCATTATTAAAAAAAAAATAACACTTCAAATTATATGTTCAAACACTTAGCAACTAAAAAAAAAATTGTAGTACAATAATTACAGGCCAACTTTCTCTTCTACTTTCCATCAAAACACTCCAGAGTCAAGTTTTATAAGATCTTAACATTCCAAGTTAAACATTTTCAATGTCCAATAAATTATGAATAGTTCACCTACTATGATAAAACTATTTCCAGGTAACTTAATATGGACACAATTTATGGCTGAAGTGAATTTTAATAACTGTTATTTGTTTAAACTTAAGATTATCAGATAAATAGGTTCAAATTATTCATATTTATTTTAATCTGTTTATAATATTGTAAACATTAAACCAAAATTTAATCCCAGAATATTTTGTTTTTATTTTAAAGACAAACGTGTTTTTATTAAAATTACTGCTTAGTCTAATGAACAGGGACCTAATACAAGTGATTAATCTATGGAATTCAAATCAAAGATCTGTAAGAAGAGATTTTGGGACAAATGATCCGTATAATAACCCAGAAGGTCTTTTCTTTGGTATCATAATCTCATCAGCTGGGCTGGATTATGAAGTACAAAGGATTCAAAATTAGGGTTAATTGCTGAAAGCTGGCAAAGCATTGTAAAATGGTAAAAAAAATACAAAAACAACAATTAATATTCATGATAAAAATCACACTATAATGCAGATGTTTTTTGTTTTTTATCCACTATATATATATATATGTATAAACTAACATTTCAAAACTATCTTTTGTCTCCCTCTTGTTACTGCCCAGTCTGCCAAAAGTCTATCTGAATATAATAGACAAGCATGTATTGTATACAAGTCTTGATAGTTATATACCTATATAAACATACATATATAGATACATACATACAGAAAGGTATTATTTAGTTTTTCTTCACTACATTATTGAATTGTGTACAAAGCTACTCAATAGCTATCTGCACTAGTCATTTCTAATTAAGTAACAAACTAGATGGAAAGCAGTTGAACAGCACTTACTGCCAACTCTTGGGCTACCTAATAACAGGATTTGTCATTTTTATAATGCACCCATGGTCCCAAGTAGAGAGAAAAATGTTTTTCCTGTCGGTAATGGGGCGTAAACTACATAACCTTAGATCTTCAGTTCAGCACGTTACTCACTGGGATGAACTCAGCACAGCCTGGAAAACTATGACCTGAAATATTACACTCAGCACAGCCTGGAAAACTATGACCTGAAATATTACACTCAGCACAGCCTGGAAACTATGACCTGAAATATTACACTCAGCACATCCTGGAAAATATGACCTGAAACATTACACTCAGCACAGCCTGGAAACTATGACCTGAAATATTACACTCAGCACAGCCTGGAAAACTATGACCTGAAATATTACACTCAGCACAGCCTGGAAAAATTATGACATGAAATACTACACTCAGCACAGCCTGGAAAACTGTGATATGAATTATTACACTCAGCACAGCCTGGAAAATTATGACATGAAACATTACACTCACAGCCTGGAAAACTATGACATGAAATATTACACTCAGCACAGCCTGGAAACCTATGACCTGAAATATTACAATCAGCACAGCCTGAAAAACTATGACCTGAAATATTACACTCAGCACAGCCTGGAAAACTATGACATGAAAAATTACATTTACACCTGGTGGTTAGTTTGACATACAATTCAGGTAGTTGTGGGTTATCAGTAGAATTTTTATGTCGTATTCAATGATTTTCTCTAAAAGTAATCTATCCGGATCTGCAAGATAAAAGTAATGGTTTATCTTATGGGTATAGAAATGGTCAGTATGGCTTATCTTATGGGTATATAAATGGTCAGTATGGTTTATCTTATGGGTATATAAATGGTTGGTATGGTTTATCTTATGGGTATATAAATGGTCAGTATGGTTTATCTTATGGGTATATAAATGGTCAGTATGGTTTATCTTACGGGTATATAAATGGTCAGTATGGTTTATCTTACGGGTATATAAATGGTCAGTATGGTTTATCTTATGGGTATATAAATGGTCAGTATGTTTTATCTTATGGCTATAAAAATGGTCAGTATGGTTTATCTTATGGGTATAGAAATGATCAGTATGGTTTATCTTATGGGTATAGAAATGGTCAGTA